TTATTTATTATATAGAGTTTATTTTTAATGAAATCTGTACAGGCCAGATAGGCATTTTGGAAGCTTTAGGCTCTGTAAGCATTAAATGGCAAAGTCTGCTATGAACCTGTGGTAAAATTCATGCAAGTAAATATAATGGTGCATGGGTATGAGAAATTCTAATGACCCGAAATGTACTAAAGGCGACAATCGGCTTTGTGCCCATATTATTGTAAACATATGCACATCCTTCACGACGCTGAATAGCCACTCTCCAGACTGCTTGTTCCATAGCTTTCCCCAGAGGATTAAAGAGAAACTGGGTCTTGAACTTTTATTCTGTGTCTGTAATATTTCCTCTCTCATCAGTGACTTACTCCATCGTTGTAACTTCACAATTATGGAAAATATAAGGGTTGGCATCTATCCTACTTGTTTAAATCTATCGCAGATCATACCACAGCTAAACAATAATGATGCTTTTATTTTAGCCAATCTCCAGAACAGGATTAAGATCAAATATTGTACTAATTTAGAATTCTCAAAAAAAAAGGAAAACAAAAATCCCAGCTTACATAGCACAGTTGATTTTTTTTTTTTTTTTCCCTTTAAGGGCCAAGAATTAGATGAAGAGTTTCATTTTTGTATACTTTTATTTGTACACTTGGTTATCAGATATGAAATGATACAAGTACCATAGGGGTCATTGTAACATCTTTCATAGAAAATTGCTTTCAGTGTGAACTATCATATCTATGATAATAAGTCCCTTAAGGTTACATTTAAAGACGGAAACTAATAAATCTTTATCAATAATGACAACGAGGGGAAAGTATTATACTTGTTGACTGTGTTTTGTTTTTTTAAAATGGTCTTCACAAGCGCTCAAATTTTTTAGAGGGGAGGTTACTATATAGAATATCTTTTACAAGGCTTTTATAACGTTTTATGCCAGAAAGCATACAAATACATATTTCTTTAATAGCAATAATTTTGGAGCTTGCCCTTGAGCAAGGAAGACTATTTCTTACTATATACTAAGGAGAAAAGAGCCAAATTCTTAAAGCAATATTTAAGAAAAAGGAATTTATAACAAATTCTCATACCACATAGCCCACTTTCTAGCCCGTTAGGTTGGGAAATAGAAAGAGAGAGTTAAAGAATGTGTTGGGATTTATGTAACTAACTTTAGAATTTAATATTCCATCGTTGTTTTGCTCCGATGCATGTTCTTTATGAAAAATAAAAGTATGTCACTGGCAAATCAAAGCTGTCATGAAAAAGAAGCGCATGACTTATGTTCATGAGCACATGGACAGTCCCTTGGCCCAAGGCAGGATGTGTCATAACGCCCTCCTGTGATGGGCAGGGAGGACAATGGCATCTAACATTTGGAATTCAGAAGTACTTTGTGGGGAGTGGCCAGAAGCAATGTAAAATAGCCGATTTGTGGTAAAGGTCAGAATGTCTTCTTCCTTTATTTTGTTGGGATTTTTTACATTTTAAACAGAAACCACATTTAATTTCCATTATTAGTATTCTTATTTATTATTTAACATTTGCTGCTGCTGAAATGTGCACAGATTCAGGCTTTAGTGTACCCAAATGACATTTAAGTTTTTTGAGGGGTTGAAAGAGAGGGTGGCTGAAAAACCTTGAACATAGGATCACAGGGAAGAATCAAGTTTTCAGAATACTAACTATAGGTATGATATTTAGTACCGAAGCAATTGATTTCAGAAGACAGGGAAAAATAATCTTAAAGTACTATGAAAAACTTGAGGTATCAGCCTAAAAGAAGAATAGAAAAAAAGAATGAAATGAAAATCCCCACACATTCCCAGAAGAATGTCACTTTAATGTCATGTTTTGGTACTTTTTTTTTTTAAGAAAAGCAAAATGTTATATACTTTGGCAATTGATACAATAAACTGTAATGGTCTGTAAATAAATAAATATTGACTTATGCAATTTATGTAAATAGGCATTTTCCAGAGAGTAGGTGGCTCAGGACCCAATGTGGACATTGTCCTGTGGGGCAGTCCAGGTGTCTTCCCCAGAGCTCATAGATTTGCATCCAGTTCTTGTCTGAAGAGACCCCAAAACCTAGTGATGGCGGCCCTGAGTCACTGAGGAGCAAATGGCTCTGGTTGTCACAGACCAGTGCCCCCTCAGCCAAACTATTCCCTTGTTGGTGCCAAGACTTATACCTCAGTCACAGACTCACTGGGCACGACTGAACCACCTTCCCATCTGTCACATGAGTGTCCCCAAGTGGTGTTGAAGGCCATGCCAGGTCAGTGTTGGGGACCTTGCCCTGCCAGGTCCTGCTCTGTGGATAAATGAGTGGCTATAGTTTATCATGTTTTCATTCTATTTCATCTCATTAACACGACAATATTGTGTTATTGACTTGATAATCTATAATTGTATGCAAATACATACAGGACGATGTAACTTGTGTAAATACATAATTACAGACATTTGAAAACTGGTACTTTTTACTTGATGTCCATTCTAGAGCTGCTTCAGATTATGTGCCTGCATGAGCCCGTGGAATTTTCAAAACATGTTCTCTTTGCTCCTACAGCTCTTGCTTGTGTGTTGAGGGGACGGGTGGGGTGGCAGATGGAGTGGGGAGGAACAAACTTTACAGATGCTTTTTCTGTAAGCATGAGATAAAGATGCAAGAAATCTTTGGGGATGAAGATTTGAGAATTTATAATAAGCAAAATGCTGTGTGTGTGTGTGTATGTGTGCACATTTATGGATGGATGGATGGACAAAAGGGATATTGCTGGAGGTCAGTTCTATTTGCTGCTTCATTTGACCTTGAAATGGACCAAATTTAGATCTGCTGTTTGTGTTCCCATGCATGGAAGAAACAGTGGGGGTAAGCTGAGTGAGAGGCCAGAGGGATTTTAGAGCTTTGCATCCATTCTTCACTTATCAACATGGTTAGGTTTCAAAGACCAGGCTCTTAGGCGAAAATCAGTGTTATTGAAAAAAAAAAACGGAGGTTGGTCACATCAGATCACTCAGCTGAGGATGACTATGTCATTAAGTTGTTGTTAAGTGCCAAGTCAAGTTGGTTCCAACTCATAGTGACTCTGTATTACATAAATGCCAAACCATTGAGAATCATGGTGCAGACAACTTGATTCGTAACCTTGACCATCAGTGAGTGTTATTTTCACCTTGAACCTCAGCATTCATTACTGCCAGACATAGTTTAGTAATGGGCAGAATAGTTGGAGAGTCGATTATTTTCCTATTGTCATTGCCAAATATTATATAATAAAGTGGCTGATAAGCGAGGAGTAGGTATGTTAGTCACTGAGCCTCCGTTGACTGAGTGTTAAACATACTATACAATACCAACTTTTATCCACAGACAGTCCACGTTTCAAAATAGGTTTTTTAATCATTAAAAGTAAGTCGTGAGGAATTACATGAGGGTAAGTAAAGTTGCTTCTAGAGTTCCAGTTCATACTTGCACAGGTTTATTAAAAACAAAACCTGTTTAAACAGGTCTGTGCAATCAGTGGTTGGCTGCAGACAAATTCTTTCAGTAAAAACACTTGTCTTGGTCTGGAGTTGTAGGATAAGCACTGGACTGCTAACCACAAGATAGTTGGTTCAAACCTACCCTCTACAGTCACTCTGAATTGGTGCCAACTCAGCACTTAAACAAGTTCACTTAGATGTCTTCGAAAAAGGGAGACTTTTTGTGCTGTTGGGAAAAAAAAGATTTTGAAATCAGTGCTACTGATTTTTAACGGAATGCAAGTGGACATCTTCCCAAATTATTGAAACTTTACAGCAATTTTACTGGCTAGTAAGGACAGTCAGGGCTGTCCTAGGAAAATTTTGTTAGGAAAACTTGTCCTATCCACCTTCCAGCCCTGATCTCACTCCTTCAGACTTTCTGATCCCTCAACTCAAAGAACATTGTATCCCACCTAAAACAACAGTTCTTAGATGAATTATGCATTTTAAGGAAGGAGGAAGACCTTAAAGATGGGCCAAGAGAGGGCATGCCATCACCCTCGAAGGATGAAACTCAGAAATATGGTGAATGAAGACTGTATACTTGTTACAGATGCCATTAGCTATTGAAGTTGGAAATCTCACGTGGTTTGGAATTTTCCATTTTAAGGGAGCATCGTGGCCTCAGCAAGCTTTTGACTGGATGGGCCTCAAAATTATTGTACAAAGATTAAGTAGCTCCAAAAGTTGAACTTTCCATCAGTCTTTTAAGCCAGATAAAAACGAATGAAGACAATTTTATGGAAGGATTCATAACCAAGGATGGGTCTTGGTCTTGGATTTACCATTATGTTCCAGAGAGCTAGGTCTAGTCAAACAAAACAGTGTCTTTTGAAGAGACTGCTGGGCCAGTTAATTCAAGAGAGGTCGGAGAGGTCAGCTTACAAGGTTATGGAGACTTTTCTTGGGATGCCAAAAGGGTGATATTATTAGATTTTCTTAAAGGACATAGGAAGTTCATGGGGGCTTATTATGAAGTTTCGATATGGAAAATG